GAGTCCGAGAAGAGGATCTAAACAATATTAGAGACCGAGAGCTAGATCGTGCTGCCTATTAGGAGACCCGAGTTAGCAAATACCTCTATAAGCATCCTAATATATATAACAACTAGGACTAGTAGTAGAACTAGAAGATCGCTTATAGTCTTGTCGACTTAGACGTTTAATTACAAACTACCTCGTAATTTAATAAGCTTAACCGGTATTAGCGACAAGGCTTCGATAAGGTCGTTAGTCACTTTTAGCGTGTTCTAGCTAGTAGGAAGCCTACTTAGCTATTAATAAATGTCGACGGGGCAGGGGGAACTAGCAAATTATTTCTTATTAAGATAATCTGCGTACGACTTTAGAGTAACGCAAAGACTGCTAATTACCCTAGCAATCTAGTTATTCGACTTGCGCCTACTAGTACTGCTACTACTAATATCGATAGGTTAACACTCTACTCGGTATTTAAGCTTCCTATTCGAGTAGGCAAAGCCGGTATACTAGACTTAATCGGTGCTCGATTGACCCGTATAGAGAACTAGCTCCGCTATGTCCGATATATTATCCTTAACGAAAAGTCTATAGTTAGCTAGACCCTTCTATAGATGCTCGACTAACGCCTCCGATAGTGCCTTAATAATTAATTGCTGTTCGGCGGAATAAATATAATTATCTTTAGCGACTTCTGTTAATTAACTCCGGTCTTCTAGAAGCCTCTGTTCTATATAGCGCCTAAGACAGCCGAAGAGATCGCTAGCTAAGGCGTATACTACGCGTTCGACAAGTTATTACTCCTTTAGGCTAATATGCGGCAGGAAGGTAACGATCCTAACTAGATTGCATTCCGAGAAGCCCTATCCGCTCTTCGTACGGGTACGGCCGATATACTCTACTAGCAGACCCTTATACGTCGTACTAATATTACTAACCCCGCTAAATTACGCCAATTCGAAGATGCTACTCGTATCTACTTTACTAACGATAACGTAAATAAACTCAATTATTAGAAGCTCCGCGATATCGGTAATGCTGTTCTACCTATTACGGCTTCTTACAATCGACTAGATACTACTACAGTCAGCTCTAAGAACGTTTACAATCTTAAACTAGTACTTAAGATATCTGTTAGTTGTAAGGTTATACTCCTTACAAACCTCTAGACCGAATTTAGTATAGTTAATAGTAGATAGGGCATCCTCTACGACATTATCTAGTCCGAGGATACTCGGGACAAGAATCTACGTAAAGTACCTCCCCTTTGCCTCTTAGTTGCTTTCGAAGGTCTTAAAGAAGACGCTCCGGGGCTCTTTAATATCGGTTCTCGCAAGATCGTGCCTATCTTCCGTATACAGCGAAGTGTTAATAGATAGGATAACGACTAGCGCGAGCAGTTCCTATTAACTGTTTTATACGCGCTTACGGTATACAAAGCACAGGGTATAACCCTAGATAGGGCTATTATTAAACTCGGTCCTAAGGATTTCTCTGCAGGCCTTATATATGTTGCTTTCTCTCGGGTTAAGAGCTTTATAGGTCTTTTAATTGAGGAGCCTTTTAACCTCTAGCGTATACGCAACCTCGCTAGAAGTGTATAGCGTATGCGTATTATAGATAAGAATCGTCGGCGTTCGTAGTACTTGCCTAATCTACTAGCAACCCCCGTTCTATTATCTCGAGCATTTGGTAGCATTAGCAGTACCTTAGCAACGTTATCTAATAACTTTAAAACGGCACTTTAATAGGACCTTCTCCCTTCGGACTACGAGGACGATAGAGATAATATCGAGACTCCTTTAGACTTGCTATTACTAGGCTAGGATTCTAACGACCCTATAGATATTAATAATCTAGGGCAGGAGTATAAGCCTAATACTGTTAAGCCGCTAGGTAGCATAGAAGATAGCGAGCTTCCGAGCGAGGGTTTCCTACTCGTATTAGGTTAGGTTTACAATCTAGTTATAGTAGCGCTATATCGACGTTTGCCTATTCGCGAAGTCGACGCTATATTAGACCGTTTACTTTTTATCGAAGAAGTCTAGTAAGCAGAGCGTATAGCTTAGGAGGCCCTGCGCTAACAAGTACGTAATAGACTATCTAACCGTCTATCCTCTCGACTACGCGCTATTACTATCTTATCTACTATATCTACGTCTACTGCCGCGAGTTTAGCAGGCCTTAGATATATCGTACCTTCGCTTATAGTAGCACTAACCGAGGCAGAACTAACTAAGGCAGTACTAACTAAAGCCTCTCCGCACCTACCTACTGCTCCGATCCGCCTAGCCGATAAAGAATTAGAGCGCGACTTCCGATAGCAGGTAAGGGTTAAGCTAGCACTGCCTCTAGTCTTCTACTATTATAAACAAGAATTAATCGACGCCGCGCGACTACTCTAGAAGGCATGCTAGAAGCGCTTTATTTATAACTTCGAGGGTTATAGAGTATTCTAGTAGGTGTTTCGTCGGATGTTCCTTACTAAGGCAGAGGCCGCTGCTACGGAATCTCGCATTCTATAGAATACTAAGAAGTAAGAATACTCGGCTAGCGGCAGAACCCCTTATCCTTAGATAGTACGACTTATTAAGCTAGCCTTTAAGTACTAGAATCTCGCTACTAGAGTAGGTCGTCGTATATAGGTTAACCTAGGCAATATACGTATTTAGATAAGGGATAGTACTCGCATCGCTCCTCGGGATTTAACCTATTTCGATAAGGTTGCATACGTACTACGAGAACTCGCGCTAAGCTCTATATCCGACGAGGTCTTAAAGTCCTAGTATAATAAGGTAGTTATAACTAACCTTTTGCATCTATACGAAGAGACGTTTATCCGAGGCAGGGATCTTATTATACTAGATAAGGCTTACCCCTTGCTGTTTCTCTCTAAGGCTAGCGAAACTAATATAATCGATATACTAAATCTAGCTATTAATACGATCCAGACCTTTAGATAGCTATCTGTAGCTAATCCTAAGGCTATCGATTATTAGTAGTAGATCGATACTAGCCGCGAGGGTATTTATTAGTACTAGCAGACTACTAACGATCTTCTAGCTGCCCTTAATTCTCTTAACTTCTCGCCTAACGATAAGCTTAGACCGAACGTCTTCCTATACTCCTCTAATAAGTACCTTGTTACTACGCTTATCGACCCTTGTACGGCTACTATATAGACTTAGAATTTATAGCTAGATAACGCTAATAGAGACCGCGCAATCGGCCCTCTTAGTATACGTCTCGTTATAGCTTTTGCCTATCTACTCTCGGCGTTTCCGGATGCCTAGGCTACTAGCTAGCTATCCGGTAGTTAGCAGATACATTAAGAGGTAGACTAGGTTATACGATAGGCCGATGCGTATAGCTATAGTACAATTGCTATTAGTAACGCGGTTCTTCTTATATAGGGTTAAGTTCCTTAGTAGGTTCTCGGCGATAAATCGCATCTCCGAGCTTACGCTCTTAATCTTCGTACCTAGTACCTAGACACGCTATATAATAGTATAGATTAGGACTTCCGACCGCCCGTATCGATACTAAGCATCCCTATAATGCCTTCTATCTAGCTAAATGAGTTTAGTATAGCCTATTATCGGCAGATCGTTAATAAAGTAGAATAGAGGCGTCTCTAGGTATAGCGGAAGGCGGAGGCGGATAAGCAAATCTAGTAGTACCTAGCGAAGGAGGCTACTAAGGCAGCTAGTAGAGATATGTCGAGTTTAGAGCCTCCGGTGCCTTTAGAGCAATTTAATTTCGAGGGAGGTAACAGCGACGCCGATATAGATATAGATAATAATAATAATAATAATAATTATAATAAGTAGTAAGGCGTACGTAGAGACACGAGATAAAGGCAGAGCCTTTATTTAAATTAAGTCGATTTAGCGCATTTCTACGAAAACTACGCTAGCAAAAGTAATTAACGCGATAACGACCGTAGCTTCTAATTAGCTAACTATAAGGCGAAAGCTTCGCTCGCACTTCTAGGTACGCGTAGCCGCCTAGGAGCACATTTTTTTAAACCTTATCTATCTAGGTCGTGCCCTTAGTAGCTAGAATATCGATTATAAAGTCTCTTATATATAGTAGCACCTTCTTCGGTCGTCCTAGTTTGCCTTAGAAGCTATTAACCGTACTATATCTCTTTAGATTAGTGCTATAAAGCTTTATAGTAGTAAACGACTCTCTTTTATTCTTCGAGCGCTACGACAACTATATATCCTTCGCCGATATACCTTCTATTAATAACTAGCCGATAATTGCCTTATTTTGCTCGGTAAGGGGCGCTATAGCGACGGCGAGGTCTATAGCGCAAGGCGGTAGTAGAAAATCGGTAGAGCGACGGCAATAATATAAACAAGTAACAATACTAATTATTAGAACTATAGACTGGATACAGCGACAGCAATGGTTCGGTTTACTACCAAAATTAGTATAGAAGGCAAAACTGAAGTGGTGCGGCTCAAAAAGCCCGGGGTTTTTGAAATTGAGAATAGGCTGCGCCAAGAAAAAGCTCCTCGTCTCGTCTCTGCATGGTCTAGCAGTACTGCAAAGTGTAATTCTGAATAGTTCCGTCTAGACTCTAGTGCCCGTTGGGAGAACATGAGGCTGACACAGCATTATTACTAGATAATCAGAAGTGGTCGCGTGCCTATGCAGTCTCTTCCAGACTCCGCCTTCCACACGCGTCTGTGGACGCAGTAGATGTGGTGCACCAACAGACCGTTCCCGCCGCAGAAAGCACTATACAAGCTCACCCAGTTCAAATTCTGCTCAGCATTGCTTGGTCCACCACCCAGTGGCTCTCATGCTGTTGGTGCGAATCTCTCCCACCATTTGGATGTACCCGAAGCGAAGCGGCGTCACTAGTAGTCCACATTGTCACGTGCAAATCCACCGGGTCTGCTTGGTCTGAATATCAGCAGATGATGCTGGCAGAATGATCTTGTGGGCTCGGAAAGGCGTTCAATGCGACCTCTGGCTGAGCTTGGGAGCACTATAGCCCAAGTCCTTCAGCCAATCTCGGCCTTCGCTTCGAACTCGCTTGGTTCGGGTAGTAATCCTTCCAAAAGCGTCTTCATCGTCGACTGCAGCGCCAGAACATCGGATTCATCGGTGCTTGCCACATCATCGTTCAAGCAGAGCTGACCGACCTTCTTCTTCTTAGTCAGCAGTCGCTTGATCAAAGTGTTCTCCACTTGCTCAGCATCGGTGACCATTACAAATAAGCCGTCTGGCTCATTGATAACGTATTGATACCGCATAAGAGCTTTGACCACTGTTTGAAATGCTTTGGGTTGCGTGTCGGCATTTGGAAGCAAAGGCTCAAATCCTTTTGCGACTTTGTGAAGCAAGATCTTGATCAAGCAATCGCCACATTCGGGTTGTTGTCTTGCGACCCGATCCAGCATGGCAGCGGTGGAAAATACTGGGGTGTCGCGATGGTTGGAGAAGCCTTCAACTGAGAATCCAGGAGCTAAGCAGTCGTTCACATCGAATGCGAAACAATCTGCATCTTTGATCATGGCCGGTCCGTCCATTGAGGTCCAAAGAATATCTAGATTGACCTTTGGTGGCTCTAGACCAGCATCCTCGAGGATATCTCCATAGTGGTAGAAGTTTCGCGCCCGAAACGAGGATTTGCTCTCGTTCTGCAGTCCTTCCTCAAGATCACTCACGACCTGCTGGCGTTCGTCCCAAGAAAGAAATCCGTCCTGGTCGGGGTCGCTTCGATGAATCAAATAGCTCCATAACAAAGCTTCCCGATGCCTCTCGATTGTGTAGTGAAACGTGGCAAACCAGGTATATAGCTGGAATCCGAAATCGCCTCTGAATCTCGAGCAAGCAGATTGTAGTGCCGGACCGGGGAATGACTGCATTGCTTCACGTGTAATCCTGCGAGAAAGCGAGTGACCAAAGTGTGCTTGTCCTTTCCGTTTGCGAGCACCAAATCGCCGGTTGAGGAGCCAAGACGTGTATATCAACCACGGCTTCTCTCCAAACCTCTTCGCATCGGCTTCGTTGGGCTTATGAAGAGTGTTGTAAGAATTGGTTTTGAAGGCGACGAGAGGGCCGAACAGCGGAGAATACAGGTCTGATGCTGCATGTGGGCGTCCCAGAAGCATGTCATCTGACAGCGCAAAGAGCTGTGATGGTCAGCATAAAAGGTGCGATTCTGAGACACCATTACTCACTCTGTCAACGCGGGACTCGGTATTGTGCAGCTGATTCTCAATGGAGATGGAATTGAAAGTCGGCAGGCATCCTTTCTTGTCATGCTCAAAGTAATCCTCCTGAGTCAAAACCTCGAACGCGTTTCCAGCACTTCCAGCCAGCCAAGTCGGCGCTTGCTTTGTGGCATTGCCTGCCGAAGTGTGCAAGGAGTTGACCAGCACCTGGATCTTGTTCTTGAATGGCGCGTACTTCTCCACGCTACGGACCGAGTACTTCAACTCGTCCCAGTCTCTGTAGCGATTTTCACCATGACTGGCGATCCACGCGCCCTCTTTGTCGTTCAGTGTGGAGTTGAGCTCGTAGGGATGCTTGGTATTCCGGAATGCTTCTTCAGAGCCATTGACCCCTGCAACACGTCAATGTCACGCTCGATATGTCCATAGCGAACCGCTTACATGTATATACAAAGTCAATGCGAGGTTCCTTGAAAAGTCCCCAGCGTTGAGCATCGTATGTCACATTGACCAGCCATTCTGCTTCCCAGCCCTGGAGCACGTCGTCTTGGACAGCCTCCTCAAAGGGTGTGTACACCAGTTCGGGAAGGCCGTCTGCCTGCTCGACCAAGGCCGTATACTTTTCGTAGCGAGGAAAGGCGTCAGTGCCTGGAGGGTGTATCCAGTTCGGATGTGGTGTTGACTGGAGTTGGGATCCGACCAGGGGGATTATTAGTTGTACGTCATCGTCCAAGACTCGAATCTCGCCTTCTCCTTCTGCAACAGCATCCGTCTCGGCGACAAAGACTCCGGGTTGTTGTTCCTCCAGCCCGCGACGGGCAATGGCAATGGCAATGGCCTCAATGCTCTGGCCCGCCTGCCGAGCCAGTCTGCGGTTGCTGATGTACAAGATCGACAGGCCCATCAACGAGCAGGCGACCAGCAAGATGGCGATGGGGCGACGGCGCGAAGACCGGGGCGGCCATCGCTTCGGGCTTTCATGAAGACGCATCGCGATGATGATGTTGTCTTGTCGTTGCGGGAGAACTTCGAAGTGGCCTCAGGCTCAGCAGAGTCTCCTGGTCTTCTGCTGAGCGCATCGCATCGCATCGCATCGCATCGCACGACAGCGCACGCCGCACTCCATATGGACCATGGACCATATCCACTCCTGCACATGCTCCGCTTGGCTTGGCCAATGGCTCGGCACTCGCTTCTAGACCCCCTCTGTCTTCAAACACTTGGGCGCGAGTCAAGCATGCCGTTCTGCGCCGCACCACTGAACAGCAAGCCACAAGCCACAGACTAATAATATCGCTCCCCCTAAAGCTTTCTTCTGCAAGCTCCATGGCACGCTTTGAGCGCCCAGACGGGCCTGCTGGCTGACTCTGGTCCCCCATAACTAAATCAGAATCTTATCCCAATATATCAGAATCTCGGCTGATACCGGTTCCTTACATAATGTTCGGCAATGCGATCGCTAACCACACGACACGCTAATAATAATGTCGCGCGCGCAAACACATAATACTACAGTAGTAGGTAAGTGCATTCTAGGTTAGGTAGATTGAGTTTTTCAGTAGAAACAGACTTCTTAACGACATAGACTACATAAATAGCAACTGATTACAATATTAGTGCGCTCTACTAGCATTTCGAGGCTCTATAATATAGCTAGGATCGTGTCTAGTAGGCTAGCTATTCGCGAGAGGGTGTCTATACTATATACCGGCGTTCTAGCTCGAATAGTAACGTTTAGGGTTAGGCAGGAGGGTGCTAAGCCCTCCGTAGTTAGCGTAGACCTAACTGCCGCTAACCTAGCTATAGTTAAAGTGCTAGTTTACGACATACTACTAGCTTAGATTAAAGTACTATTGTTAGTTGCTTAGCGGAGGTATCTACTAGCTTAGTGTCGATAGCGGAAGTATAGAACTAGGTAGTAGCAGTAGCGGAAGCATAGAACTAGGTAGTAGCAGTAGCAGAAGCATAGAACTAGGTAGTAGTAGTAGTAGCTGCTAGACCGGTGTTTATAATAGTATAGGTAGACTTATAGAAGCCGGACCTACTAGAGCTATAGATAAGGGCCTTAATAGTTACTAAGCTCGCTAAGCGCACGGAAAGTCGTTACCGTAGCAGGCTAAAGTGCAACCGCTAGTACTTCTATAGCCGTATCGACTAGTGCAGCTCCGCTAGCATATACACTTCTTACTTCTACGTTAAGTCGACTATAAGTAAGCTATCGGAGATACAGTGCGGCTAGGCTCGGCATTGCGAATAGCTTCTTGTTAGTTAATTATCGTTAGTGTCTTATAACCTAGCGGTAGCGTAGCTCGTGTACTTAGGTCTACTCGTTTAGGTCTAGTTACTAATCTTCTAGTGCCGCCGAGTGTATTACGAGCCTTCCGTGCTGCCTTCGCCTTACGCTTCTACTTCCGTTTAAGAGGGTTTAGCTTCCTGTCTACTAACTGTTCTATAGTAGTAGCAGTGCCGCCGGGTACCTACTAGTAGCTATTAAACGAGCGGACTTTAAGAACACGGCGTCTATTAGAGTTAAGAAGCGCTCGTTGCTTATAACGGCATAGTAGACTAAAGGTTCTACGGAAGCCGCCTAAGTATAGTTTAGGTGTAAAATTAGGGTTAGACTATATCTTTAAGAGCTCGTTCTTAGCAAGATCTCGCTACCCTTCTACCAATTTGAGACCGTATATAGAGACAAGGCGTACGACATTGTCGAAGTACTCGTTATTAAGGTACTTAGAACACCCTATATTCTGTTCTTTGCTAAGCTTAATAGTATACCTATTAATTTAATAGTTAAAGTAGCCCTCGAGCCGGTCGAGGAATGTAAGGATATCGTTCTTCGAGGTTGTAAGGAAGGCCTTCAATCTAGTATGTATAGACTTAATAGGTAACGTTGTTGTATTGCTAAAGTGCCTTGTCTTATCGACCTAGTATTTAACTGCTTTCTTAGTATGTAGCCACTACTGTTCGTTAAGGTATTTAGCTATAATAATCCACTTGTCGACGTTAAGTAAGTATAGGTCTTCTACTTCTAGTGCCTCCGGAATAGGCTCACCCTTCGAGAGTGAGACAATAACACTACGGAAGTACTCAAATTCTACCTCTATAGCAGCCGACACTGCCTTATTAAACAGCTTTATAAAGAACTCGGTCTCGATAGTAGCTTCTAGTCTCTTAGTTGTTAGATTGACGTACGTACTAACGTAATACTTAGCATTAGCAAGGACAGCGGATCTTATATGCTAGCGGCAGACTATAGTTAGAAGCTCTAGAAATATACGGTAGAGGGCATTAATAAGCGCTCTGTCTCTATTGTAAAGAACGACACGAGGCTCCTTATAGTATTGTTCTTCTAGTATCTTCTTAAGGCACTTTAGTGCTATAGTATAGTTGCCTTGCGCCTATCCGTTTATTAGCATTATTACTAATAGCATAACCTAGTTAAATTGGTTGAGCTAGGCAAGTACGAAGAGCGGCAAATCGTAGTCGTTCGTCTTATAGGTATAGTCTCTAAGTAATACGTCCGGACAGTGCTTATAGAACTCAATCATCTTTAGGTAAGCAAAGAACACCTACTAGAGCCGCGAGTCGTCGTCTTTAGCAGTATCGTTATTACTATATTTAGGTTAAGGGTCGAGGCTAGTAAACTTAGCTAACTCTTCCGCTATAAAGTCGAAGTTAGACTTAAACTAGTAACCCTACTCTTTTAGCTATTATAACGACCTCTTAACTGTAGTCTTGCTATCCAATTTGATGCGCTTCGCTTTAGCCTACGCATTTAATATATCCTATAGCGACGGTAGTATAAAGTGAGGGTCGTTAGGGTTATAGAAGTACTGTTTTGTTTAAGCTCGAATGGACCGTATAATAAGGCCGCCCTTCGCTCTTAAATCTACTATAAACTTAATAACCTTCGAACAGCGATAACGCCGGCGGTAGTTAGCAAGGCAGATAGGCGCTACGGCGGCGTAGTTATAGCTATTCTAATTCTAATATAGGGTCTAAGATCCATTAACTTCTTCTAGATTATCCGCGAATACTAAACAAGACTACCGACAACTAGTCTTCTTAGTACGGGGGTTCCTGCTTCGTTTGCTAGCGACCTTACGAGCCTTCTTCTTTACATTTGCTACGGCAGTCATCTTCTGCGTACTATACTTCGCACACTAGAAAGCATAGTATATTACCTTATTCTTATCGTTACGCTTATAGCCGGTCTTGTTAAGCTTAAATCTACGCTCTTAGCTTAGGTTTTGTATATATTCTTCTAGCTTATCGTACGTCTCGAATAACTAACTCTACGGCGGCTCAATCTGCTAATATTCTTCTAGTATAGGTACTATCTCGTCGTCCGAGTCGCTCTGCCCTTCTTTATCGATATTACTACCCTCTATTCTACCTATTACCTCCGCGGAGGGCAGCGACGGCGCCGGTAAGCCTAGCGGCGATAGATCAGGCGGCGACGGCGAGTTAATAGGTAGATCAAGCTTAGCGAGAAGGTCCGCTATCCATTCTTCGTCCGTACGAGCCGCTATAGCAGCGATAGTAAGGTCTACGATATGCTATCCTAGGCGTAGATTCGGTGCAAGAGTAGTATAAATCGACGCGCCTAACAAATTACTAAGAAACGCGAATTACTAATCTCTCGGTTGGAACCGAGATTCTAATATATTAGGATAAGATTCTGATTTAGTTACAGGGACTCTGGTTACTATCACAACGACACTCGTCCTATTCACATGTCGCGTAGGCATCTCGAACACCCCCACACCCTGGACACACCATGCCTATCCTTCTCTTGTCCTCCTGTACTGGCGGACATCACAATCTATGAGCTCATTGCTTGCGGCTGATTTCAGCCAGCCACTACACTGCAGCCTCAAAATGATCGATCAAGCCTTTTAATCGCAAGGACTCGACGCAAGGCCGACTCGGCTACTTCTCGGTAGTGACTAGAGACGTTTGAGGTAACGCTATTGAGAAGACGTTGTGCGTGGAAGCAGCCACAATCGCTCCCCAAGCCGACGAGTTGAATCGTGCCCCAAGCGAAGCCCCAGTGCCGTCCTTGGACCTCAGCAGGGCGTGTCTTTCAGCCCTGGCTTGATGCTAGTGGACGGGCTGAGAGATCCGCTGGAGGCTGCGTCGTAGCACGGGTATCATTATCGGGCACTAGAAGTCTAGAAGCGCCAGACTCGCAATGTTGTACAGCACAGGCTGTCAGGCTGAACAAACACTGATTAAGCAGCTGAGCACGCGACTTTCAGGCCCTCCTTCAAGAAAGCGTGATGGGCGAGTCTGTGCAACGCTCAGTGCATCCCCTTGTTGTCCTTACTCGCTAATACCTCGCTCGGGCCACGCTGGAGATCAAGAAAGATATCTCAGCTTCATCATCTTCCTCGGGTACATCACACAGAAGCCACTATGGCTCCCATTGTCATTGCTGGCCGTCGATGCATTGCCATCCTCGCCATCGTACAGTCGTTACTGGAGGTTGCTGCTGCATCTGGCCTCGCAACAGTCACACCCTGCCCTGATTGTGGTCCTTCGATCGCGCCAAGACCGATCTCTGTCACAGCTCAATATCAGACAGTGTCCACATGCGTGCCATCTACCACCACGGTCACCTTCCCAAAGACGAAGCACCATACCACAACATTGGAGTCGGCCGTAAAGACGATTCCTTCATGCACTTCATACGCGTGGGTGTCTACCGAGATTCCCTGGTACATGAATGGTACCGCGACTTCGACTCTGGTCACAACTACGAATCAACCCGTCACGTTCAACAGTCTTCATTACACGGAAACGCACACCACGACCATTACTCTACCAAGTTATGACCACGGGAACCGCACCAATCATACATCCACACTCAAGGTGTCAGAGACAACTATCGACATCAAGGATTTCTGCGACTACAAATCCATCGGACCGATTGGGATTCCAGGCTACGGTGGAAGTGGACTTTGCAAGGACTGTGGGCCGGATAGCAAGCGTGCTTTGACCCAGCGCTTCACGGTCATTTCTTGTGCCAATAGACACTGTACAACCTTCAACGAGACCCGAATTGCGTCGCCGACTACTTACACGAGGAATGGACGTCCACATGTGACAACAACAACGCACACTTACTGCCCGACTGCCACTCCAGCTAGTGCCATTCCTCGAGAATCAGCGGCTGCATCCACGGCGGTGGCAAGCACAACTACAACGGCAACTCAACCCACTGGATACGATTCCAAGAGCGCAGCAGGGCCGACCACATCACCGACCGCAACACCGAGTGTTGGATCTGAGCCAGACGAAGACGAGCTCTGGCCTTCAGCCGGGCCTTCAGAATACGAGCCTACAACCACAGCTGATGAGACTGAGCCCACGTACGGCGGTGGAGAGGGATCGGCCGATCCTTCAGCAGATTTGGAGCATGACGAGCCTGCGCCCACGCCATACCAGCCCCCAGCACGTTCGTACAAGGCCTTCAAGCGACAAGGGTTAGAAAAACCCAAAGGCCGCCTCGTGAAGCGTGGCGGCCTCTTGTACTTTGAGAAATAGTTGGCATGCTGTACAGGTCAAGGCGATGTTCTGACCACAAGGAAATTTCGTATTTGAGCATTGGTGTAGCCATTGGGCGACACATGATGAACGCAGGCATTCACGGCAGAAACTTTAGAATTTGATTTTAGAATAATGCTGTTATTCTTTCTTCCATAAACAGCACAGTTGCCTAGCCAGTCTGCTTTTCAAACCAGATAGAGATGACGGGTTATCTAGGATGATGAAGTAATGACCTTTATATGGCCGAGATGCGACTTATCAGGCTTTCAAAATGCGTCAAGACCTGAGAACTAACCGACCTCTGCAGACATCGTGGTGTGGCATGATCCATGTGGCATGGCATGCATGATCCATGTGCCAAGATGCCGGACCACCACCAAAACCCAAACTTGGACACTGACAGGTGTAGTATTTCCTCTTTGGGCAAGCCAAGATGGCGGATCGGAGCTGCAGTAGCGCGCTCGAGCTTATATGATGATCATCTGAAAAGAGCAATTGGGCACGCGCCGTTCTCATCTGTGGCTGCAAACACAAGCCCAATAAGAATGTACGGTTTAATAATAATAATCAGTGTTGGCGTATGGTCAGGCCATCGCATTGGCTTCCATTTTCTCGGTCGGCGCGCTACTTTGCCTGCCATGCCATGCACACTTCCCAGAGCAAGAATCGCGATCCGAGACTTTCCGTCGGGTTGGATCGCTGGTACGCCCTCTTGTCTTGAGCACGTCCTATGTGCCACGCACAACTTGTTAGTCGACGACTTTCGCCGCCCTCTCGAACGCCGCTGTCTATAATAACGTGCCTTCGTCGAATACGCCTTCTATATAGCGCTACCTCCGTTCAGGCCTTTGTGCATTAAGGATTACGTTCCGCGGTGGTAGTGGTGGCGGAATAGATTAGCACACGTAATACAGTCAAATTTAGGGTTCTTTTACCGACTTCCGATCTACTAATTACACACCACTCTACCTAATCCTTTGCCTAAAGATGGCTCGGCACTCGCTTCTAGACCCCCCCTCTGTCTTTAAACACTTGCGCTCGAGTTAAGTATACCTATCTTATTTTATACTATACCGCTAAATAGTAAGCTATAAGCTATAGACTAATAATATCGCTCTCTCTAAAGCTTTCTTCTATAAGCTCTATAGTACGCTTTAAGCGCCTAGACTAGCCTACTAGCTAACTCTAGTTACTATTATAACGACACTCGTCCTATTTATATATCGCGTAGAAATCTCGAACACCTCTATACCCCTATACCCTAGATATACTATGCCTATCCTTTCTCTTATTCTCTTATACTAGCGGTATTAGCTAGTAACCGGCCCTATACCTATAGGCTAGTTTTAAGCCTATATAAGAGGCCTCCTTCTATAGAGTAGACAGATTATTAACCTCGTATAGTATATTGTTTATATTACACTTCTATAATACCTATATTATAGGGCTCTAGTTATTAGCCTAAGCGATAGTCTCGTTATCCTATCTTACTAAATATAGCTACCTATATTGCTATAGGTTATATTACCCTCGGTAGCCTATACTATTGCTATAAGTAGTAGTAGTAGTATTAGTTTCCGTCCTTTATTAGAGCCGAAGGTAGGGCTATCTCTTTATATCTAGTAGGTTCGGGTATATTAAAGGTAGTCTCTAGGTACGAATAGCTATAACCGAAGCGAGGGCACGATAAGAGCCTATAATACGGACGATACCGAAGTATCTTAAGGGGCCGTTACGATAAGCAGAGAAACCTCTTAACGAGAGTATCGCTTTAACCTCGAAAAGCTACAAACCCTTAGGACTATTATAGCTTAGGGCCTAGTCTATAACTATAGCTAGCTTCTAAGGACTCGGCTCTAGGTCGAAGACCTATTTAGTACCGCTTACTTAAGATAAGCTACCGCCTGCCTAAGAAGGAGATAGATTAATTACCTATCGGCCTTGCTTAGTTTGCTAAGACTATCTATACGATAGCAATTTCTAGATTATAGGTCGGATACCTAGACAGTTCCTCTATTAACTAGGTAGATTGTTTCGGGATTCGCTGCCTCGTTCGGATAGTACTTAGCCTTCTACTAGAAAAAGAAGGTCCCCGCCCCCCCTACCTAGCTAAAGGAGATAACAATAGTTAGTAAAGTAGCTAGTTTCTAGGATCTAGGTATAAATAGAGATTGTAGTTCCTTCCTCCGAGCGGCTTTTGTCTAAATTTACTAAATTAAAGCTCCTAGGGGTATCTAGGCGACCTCTAGGAGGCTAAAGTCGAATAATACTAGACCCCGTAGTAGTTCGGGTTGGTTTGGTTTAGTTTGCTAAGCCGAAACTCTAGTTTAGTTTAGGTTGGTTTGCTAAGCAACTATATAAGTAGCTAGTTCGAACTATATAATTTATCGGTTTTTAAGAAGTGTACGAATGTATACGTAGCTTTAAGCAAGCCCTTTGTAAGACTTAGCAGTGTAGCCGGCAGCGTAGCCGGCATTTTTAGTCCTTAGTACTTATAGAATTTTCGAATCCTACTTAGGCTACGTAGTTGTATAAAGGTACTTATATAACCTCAAATCTATAGACAATTAGCTAAGGGCACTAACCAATCAAAAGCATATACATATATATATAAGGCATTATAGTTTAGTTCGGAAACTGCACTCCTTAGGTATGAATTTCATCCTTTCGTTTACGGTTCAATTCCCTAACTGCTTAGTAGAATGTCTTTATCTAGATCTAGGCAGAACTTATCGATTTCCCTAGAAGTCCTCCTCCTTAAGAAGTTTATATACTTTCCTACCGAACTATTCGATAACATTAAGTACTAGGATAGCTCCTCCCTCGGTATCGGCATAGTATATAAAAGAGCTATAAAGCAGCTCTGCAGAACGTTCTACTAGTTACTCGCTATACTAAGGCCGAATGCTAGTTCGTTCCTTAGAACTCTTAGTTATTTAGGAGATATAAAGGGTAGGGCAGGTAGTAACTTCGTATTATATAAGGAGGTAGAGGCTGCTATAGAAGAGGCCTTCAACCTATAGAAGATAGTAAAAGATATAGAGGCAGCTGTAGGTCTAGGTACCTAGTTGAATTTTTAGTAGGTAGAGTATAAGGATATTTAGAGGGAGTATTAGGTAGAGTTGCGAAGGCAGGTATATAATATGCTCTAGAAAACAGGGATAGTGCCTATAACTATAACTATTAGGCTCTTCAACCTTCCTTATTTTTCCCTATTTTCTTTTTATAAAAATCTAAACTAATACAAATCAACCGGAATGTCTATCTTCTTTTAGTTCTTTAAAAAACCTAGTAGCGTAGCTAGTAGCGTAGCCGGCAGCGTAGCCGGTAGCGTAGCCGGCCTTTTTACTCCTTAGTACTAACGGGATTTTAGGAGACTTCTATTCCGTACGGCTAATAAAGCATACTATACTATATATATATACTTAGAGAGTATTTAGAGCGCGGTATGCAGCGCCGTATAATAGCGGCTTATTTCGCATATAGAAAAGCTTATAGATAACACTACGAACATCCTTTCTACTAGAACATCTATCCTACCTAGCACCGTCTCGAATATAGACATTCTAGCCTTTTAGAATCTAATCGAGTGCTTTAAAATCCTTGTCTATAATCGTTATACGCTTCGCGTAGATAGCTATAAGGTTGACCGCTAAATGTTAGGACTAAAGAGGTTATACGTAATTGGTATATAACCGGGCTCGAGTAAAGCTAGGGTCTTGATACCTTAGGCAGGGCTTAGCGCTTAGCAATAGGCTAACTTGCCTGCCTTCCTCCCTCTCCTTCGAGCTCCTTATCGAATACTACTCGTACCTACTACTACCCTATCTACCTACTAATATACCCTTCTTATATAGTATTCGATCCACCCTTTAAGGGCAGCAGCTAGATAGTCCTTATTTCAAGCTTTTAGTAGTATAGCTACGAACAAGACTAATCTAACTATATTGCGCCCGAAGAACGGGACCTATACGTACTATCCTATCGAAACAACCGTACCAATTATCGAGCAAGGCCTTCTATACGGCCTATTATACTAAGTCAATCGTACTAGACTAATATCTACTAATTCCGCTATATCCGTATCTTAGGGGCTAACAATATATTATTAGTGTTACCCCCTATTACAATAGCCGGCTTATTACGAAGCAACAACAACCGTGCTGCCGCTAGCAGCGCTAGCAATAACAACGCTAGTAGCACAGTTCCCGCTAAAGCACCTACTAAAGTGCCTCCTACCGAAGAGCCTATTATAGGACCTACTAAAGAAGAACCCGCAATTCTAGGTAACGACCTAGAATTGCCTGTCGACGACATTCTTAATAATATTGTCAACCGTCGATATAGCTAGCTAGCCTTTAGTCCCTAACTAGTAGCGAGACTTTAAGAAGCTACCTAAAACAGGCTTACTGCCTTGCGTTAAGAACAATAGCTAAAGGATAATCTTCTCGAGATTCGCCGCCTCTAGGAATCTCTAACAACTACTGCTAAGCTAACAGCAGGACCTTCTTTACTACCTATCTAAAAGAAGGATGCTAAACTTAAGGACTATACCGTATTTAATAGCTCTAGTCGAAAGTAGTACAACGACTACATTCGTAACTATGAACTTAACTAGCGCAACGCACTAAGAGCGCTGCTAGACGACTATTCCTTAGTCGTATACGCTATACAGTACATTAATAGCGACCTAAAGCGTATATAGGATAACCATTTTGACTCCCTTAATAATTAGACCGCTATTTAGTAGCAGACCTACAAAACTATTATGCTAGACACTCTTAGAAACCCTATACTAAGGCAACAATATGCTTAGGATTAGTACCTTCGAGCTAAGCAAAAGACTAATCAATCGGCCCGCTTATTCGAGGCCTATTTAAAAACCCTTAAAGACGACCTTCCGCCTAAGACTAATTCTATATAGATCTCCGAGATACGCCTAAAACTTAGATAGGAGCTTATCCTCGAATTGGACCGTCGCCGTGTGTTCGAACAAGCTAATCTAATACGCATTTAATTTATAGTCGAAGTAGAAACAGCCGAACGGGCTATTTAGCTCTAATAACGACTAGAATCGAGGATCCGACTAGCTAGTACTAACCGTAGCAACCGTAGCCGCGGAGGAAACTAAGGTTCCTACTAGGACAACAATACTAACAATAGGAATAGTAACGATCGTAGAAGAGGCCGTAGCCGCCGGCTATATAGAGGAGGCCGCGATAGGGGCCGTAGAAGGGGCTCGTATCCCTATAATACTAACCGCTCGACTAACAATAGTAGCAACAATAGCTACGGCAATAATCTCCCGACCGGATTAAAGTGCTTCAATTGTAATAGTACTAGCTATCTACTAGGCCAATGCGACAAACCTAAGGACTAGGCCCGAATTAACCGTGCTTCCGCTAAGCATAGGAAACACCTTTTAGCCGCTAATGCTACCCTAGTCGGCTCTTTTAATTAGTCGAAAAAAGAGTAAGCGCCGTACTAACTGTTAGCCTTATGCGGCGTAAGACTATCGACATTGTACTAGCTATAATACGCTCCTACCTTATATAGGATACGAAGGGCACTACCTATTAAACTAAGGTTATACTAGATCTAGGAAATTCAGTTAGTGCCCTTATTAGCTATCGCCTAGCTAAGTAATTAGACCTTCGACAACTGCCGAAGACTGACCTGCTAACCCTTGCTTAGTTTAATAACGCTCGGCACTTAACCTATAGGGCCTACTATATTCCTATAGCTCTAAAGGACGACCTCGGAAATGAGCGCTTGTTAGACTTCACTGCCTACGTAGTAGATATAGACAGCCTCCTATCCGATATTGTTATTAGCAACCCTGTTCTTAAGTACTACGCTGTGGCTATAGACCTAGGCCTCTAGAAGTAGCGATTTAGAATCGCTAGAAAAGAGGACATTAAACATATTGATGTTAGCGAGTATCCTAATAATATTAGGGTCCTGTTTATTAGCAACCTAACACCTGCCTTAGCTAATCCGACTACCGACCTGCTCGGTAGTAATAACGATAAACTAGTGCCCCCTAATAGCATAGATCCTGAACAACTTAGGCGTATACTAGAACCTATTCGAGAGACCTACATTAATATGTTCAAACACTACTTAGCATCGACATTGCCTATGTTTAAAGAGACAGACTATAAGATTAACATTATAGAGGGCAAGGAGGTTCCTTTTGGCCCCCTCTACAACCTTAGTAAGCGAGAGCTTGCTATACTGCGTAAGTACCTAGAGGAAAACCTAGCTAATAGTCGCATTCGGTACAGTAACAGCCCTACTAGTGTACTAATCCTGTTTGTTCTAAAGAAGGATAGTGGCCTACGGTTATACGTTAATTACCGTAGACTTAATGCTGTTACTATCAAAGACCGCTGTCTACTTCCGCTTATTAATAAGACCCTCGATCGCCTTTCTAGTACCTACTACTACACTATATTAGACATTAAGGACGCCTATTACCGCATCCGTATTCGTAAGGGCGATAAATAGAAGACAGCCTTTCGCACTCGTTATAGCTATTTCGAGTACTTGGTTATGCTATTTAGGCTAGTAAACGCCCCTGCAATATTCTAGTCCTATATTAATCGGGCCCTGTTAGGCCTATTAGATCACCTCTATATAGTTTACCTAGATAACATCCTAGTTTATATACACTCACCCGACATTGCGGAGTACTAGGCTACAGTCCGTAAGGTACTCGATCGCCTACGAGCCTATAGACTGTATTACAAGCCTTCTAAATGCACCTTTGCTACTAAGGAGGTAGCCTTCCTTAGTTTTATCGTATTAACTAATAGTGTTAAGGCTAATCCTAATCGGATTAAAACAATCACTAAATAGCCTGTTCCTACGTCTATTAAGGAGCTTTAATCGTTCCTCGGCTTCGCTAATTTCTACCGCCGGTTTATTAAGGGCTATTTACGGCATATAATGCCCCTAACTAAGCTTACTAAAACCAAGGCCAACCCAACTAGAGAGTTTAAATAGACTAACAGAGCATAAGCCGCTTTTGACGGCCTAAAGCAACGCTTTACTAATGTCCCCTTATTGCACTATTTCGTGCTAAGCAAATAGATCCGTATTGAGACTAACGCTTCCTAGTTCGCTATATCGGCTATTATGTTATAACAGGCTAATAACAATCACTAGCACCTAATCGCCTTCTTTTTACGGAAGATAATAGATATAGAACGTCGCTACGAGACCTACGAGCAAGAGCTCCTAGCTATTATCGAGGCCTTTAAGCACTAGCGCTACTATCTCGATAGTACATAGCACACCATTTAGGTCTATACAGACTATAACAACCTCCGTAGCATTACTAAGGTTACTAGGGTTATAGGTCGATAGGCTAGATAGGCTGTCTACCTTGCCGGGTTTGATTTTAATATATTATATCGGCTAGGCGTAAGCAACCCTACTAATAGCCTATCGAGGCGACCTAATTACGATAGCGAGACCTAACATATTAATTCTTTGTTTCCAACCCTGTAGTATAAGATTGCTATAGCCCGTATTGTTAATAAGCAAGCGTAGGATAAGCGGACTTCCGGACCCCGCGGCGGCAACAAATACTAAAGCGGAGTTGTCGTTCTTCTAGTACACGTTAAAAGAAAGGACGTAGATCGCTCGAGCTATAATAACTCGATTGAGGACATTGCTATTTATAGTAATAGTCTATATAGCGATAGTACTACAGAAGAGGTTGTAGTAGTTCCGGCTGCTAGTACTATTAGATGTATACAATGCGTACCTCGTTTAATAGCGAGGGTGCTATTAAATAACCTTACAAATAGGGATAGTTAATCGTTTATAGATAAGCTGTTACGTGCTTAGCAGAGGGACGCCTTTACTATCGAGCGTATTAATAGGCTTGTAAGTAGGCGAACGACTCGATCTAGTAAGAGTAACAACTAGTCGATCGACGACAAAGGTTACTTAAAGTTCAAGGGCAGATACTATATCCCCGCTAAACAATCGATTAGATAAGAGCTTTTAAAGAGGCACTATAATAGTAAGCTCGCTAGTTACTATAGTATAGAGAGGTCGCACGAGTTACTATCGCGCACATACTACTAGCTAAATAGTAAGCGGCATATAAAGGAGTATATACAGACCTGTATAGTATACTAGCGAGTTAAAGCACCGAAGCACTTACTATTTAGCGAGTTGTCTTCACTTCCTATTCCTAGGAAGCTATTCGCAGAACTTACAATAGATTTCATTATAGGCCTTCCTCCTACTAAGCGTAGGGGCAGCAAGGATATATATAATGCTATCCTTATTATAGTAGATCGATTTACTAAAGGCGCTCGATACATCCCGGCACGTAAGGATTAGACTACTATTGATATAGCAGAGGCGCTATAGACTAACATCTTCTATACCTATTAGGGAACCCCTAAGGGGATCGTATCCGATCGTAGATCGACACTAATATCTTACTATTAGAGCGAGATTTGCTTATAGCTAAGACTGAAGCATCGGCTATTAACAGCCTTTTATCCGCAGACTAACGGTTAAATAGAGAGGCAGAATGCTACCCTATAGCAGTACCTGCGCAGCTACATTAACGAGAACCCTAACGACTAGGTTAACCTCCTACAACTAGCCGAATTCGTATACAACAACAGTGTCTACTCATCTACTAAGGTTTCACCTTATTTCGCTATAATAGGCTAGAATGCTGCTATGCTACAAGACCTACTATCGCTCGAGGCCGAGCGTAAGGAAAGGGAAGCGCGTTAAGTACTAGAGACACTAGCAGCTATTAAGAGGGTTTAAAAGATACGAGAAATTCACGCTAAGATAGCTAACAAACTAGCAAAGGCCTAGGCCTATTAGAAGGCCTACTATAACAAACACTACCTTCTAATGACCTTTAAGCAAGGCGACCTAGTTATGCTTAGTATAAAGAACCTCCGTATCCGTAAACACCTATTACCTAATAGCAAAACAAGGCCCAAGCTCGCACTAAGATACATTAGCCTATTCCGCATTCGAGAAGTTAAGGGCTCTTCCGTATAGGCCTATTAGTTATAGCTTCTACCTTATTACACTATCTACAATACCTTCTATGTGTCCCTCCTTAAGCCGTACTACCTACGCGAAGGGGATGAAGCACCTACTAAATCCGAGGATATACTAGCTAATAGCGAAGAGCTGTAGTCTATAGAACGTATCTTATAGCACTAGACTAGGCAAGGCAAGAAGGAGTACCTGCTAAGATAGCAGGGCTATCTACCTAAATAGGACTCGTAGGAAGCTAAAGGTTCCTTCGAGGACATAACTAAGTTGTTAGATAAGTATTAGACTAGTATAAAGAACAATAAGAAGGCTAAGGGCCTATAATGTCGCCTAGGAACAATGCTACCCCCGGGGTGCTATTAGCTGACTAATTAGAAGCAAGCAATTGTTAGCAATAAAGGACAATAAGACTACACTACTATAGAATCCACCTCTTTACTAGCGCACCTTACTAGCGCACCCTGCAAGACCCTTCTCTTAGACCCCCCTTTTATTCCTTTATTCTATCGAGGCCCTAAGGCCTAAGCGATCGACAAGGGCGATGCGCGCGCGCGCGTGCGAATAACGGTAGTAAAGATAATAGCGTCGCGCTATAAGCTAGCGAAGGACGGCGCGGCCGGCGCGGCTATATTAGTAGCAGTATTGCGGGGTATATTGCTGTTTAAGAAAGAAAGGACACCGCTATATTAGTAACAGTGTTGCCGAGTTGTTATTAGTTAAAGAAGGTAAAGTTAGCGCTAAGACGACTAGCGCTACTATTGTTAACATTACTTGCTATTATTACCGCGTATATAGACACAACCTTACCTGCACTACGAGCCTAAGGCACCTTAATCAAAACTTTAATTAAAACTTTGAGGCCAAGTTAAAACTTTAAGCCGCCTAAAAGATTAAGCGACTAATAGACTAACTAAGGGCAAAACTATAGAGCTAAGCTAGCCGGGGTCGATCTTGCGGATAATAGGTTACTCCTCGATCTATCTAACCCTTTAAGCGAGGCGAACCTCTACTACTGCACTTACAATAGCCTTCACCTATAGAAACTAGAAGAACTGAGTTTTTTAAAAAGATATAATTAGTTAACACTTGAAGGCTACTAAACCTAACTAATTGGGGCTAGTGAAACTACGACAGTAAATAATAGCCCTCGTAATAACAAGAACAACCCTCGGAACGGACAAACCCTCAGAGCGGACATTTCTAGGTCTATTAGAGTAGACGCAAAGAACTCGTACGACATCACTTAGAACGGAGGTAGGGCTGCAATACCTCGTACGTCTACCTATTATAGTAGGGAAGACGCGCTCGTGTTGTAATTAGTCGATAGTCCTCAATTCTTGTAGTTATATATTACTTTATTATATACAAGGATAGCGTAGTTAGAGTTAGACATTGTGTTAAAAGTGAGGTTTGATATAGTTATATAATTAGGTAGTTAAGTGTTCAATTTAGCGCGGACTAAGCGGCTTATTAGACCTGCTAAGTTAGCAGTAATAGAGGTTGAGACTAGAATAAAGACCGGCTACGAGGGCGCGGCCTTTGGAAGGGAAGCGTGTGTTAGGACTAAAGAGGTTATACGTAATTGGCATATAACCGGGCTCGAGTAAAGCTAGGGTCTTAATGCCTTAGGCAGGGCTTAGCGCTTAGCAATAGGCCAACTTGCCTACCTTCCTCCCTCTCCTTCGAGCTCCTTATCGAATACTACTCGTACCTACTACTACCCTATCTACCTGCTAACATACCCTTCTTACACTAAAATAGTATTAGCATAGTCCGAAAAGAGGTAGAAGAGAAACATACATTCGAAGATACGAACTAGGTAGGCTTCTATAGCCTCTTAAAGGGCGCCTATCGCGGAGGCTTAGAAGCGAAGGTCCGTTCTATAATCCTAGGCAATTTCGCGAACAAGTCGTTAGAAAGGAGTTTTGCGGATTAGGAGCTAAGAACTCTTCTAATACTGCCGAATCTTACGGAGGGCTACGGCTAAAGAAGGATTAGTAAAAAGACAGTAAGAATACTAGCTACGCTACCGGCTACGCTGCCGGCTACGCTACCGGCTATAAATAGGACTTACTTCCTAGGCGCTATCGACGCTTCGTACGATTGCTACTAGTAGTAGAAGCGCTAGTTGTCGTCTTGCGTAGAGCCTTGCCCGCCGTTGTCTTACGCGGAGCCTTACCCGCCGTTATCTTACGTAGAGCCTTGCTCGCGACGCCCTTTCTAGTACCGGAGCTAGCGGTAGCAGTAGTAGCTATCTTGCGTTAATATACTATACTCGTTCTACTATTTCTAATCTTATTGCGACCCGTAGAAGTAGCAGGTCCCTTCTTACGAGGCGTCGTAACTTAGTTAAGTAGACTCGCTATTATAAAAGTCGTCGAATTGAGGAAAAAAGTACGTTACGAAGGTGTACGAAGGCACGCGCGGAGCGAGGGTATTACGGAGGTAGTAGATATAGAGCGTAGAGGTATAGGTATCGATACGAAGGTTGAATATAGCGGTAGTATCGCGGTGTCGCTAGGCAATAGAGTGAGCTTCGCGCAAGCCTATATTATAGTAACGTTAGAGCAAGGAAAGAAGGTAGGTACGGCTAAAAAAGGCAGGCACGGCTAAAAAAGGCAGGTACGGCAGACTTTGA